TCATACAATTGAAGAAAATTGTCAGTACTAGGAAAGTATTTATTATTGTTACTATTCCCCATTTTTTCTTCCTCCCTCCCTCCCTCTCTTGCTTCCTTCTTCCCTATTCTGACCCTTTTCCCTCTTCCCATCCACTCCCCCTTCCTTCTCCTTCCCTCTCTCCCTTCCCTTGGCCTGGTGTGCCCCCGCCTCCCCTCACCCTGACAGCTTCCCCAGTCGTGAGTCATGGGAGTTTGCTCCCACACTGGCTCCCGAAAGCCTCCGGCTGGCAGAGGCGGACACAGGCCCGGGCGGGAGGCGGCGGCTGCCAGGCTGGGATTTGCCAGAAGGAGCGGCCTGGTGCTGGACTCGAGATACTTCTAGGACTTGAACACGCATTTGTGGAGCCATCAGCTGTTATTTTGGGGAACTATAAGAGGCCTAAAGTCCCCGAGGACTGGGAGAGGATAAACATTGTATTGCCCATCTTTGCTAAAAGGGGAGAAAGATTGATTCTGGTCATTTTAAGCCGTTCTTTTAATATCTGGGAAACTCTCTCCCAAGTCCTCTCCCAACCTGCGAGGGCCAGGGCTCTCGGCTGAGCCTGCTCATTTCTTTCCCAGTTTGAATCTGGCATCGGGCCCTGACACCCATGGCCTTTTCCTCGCTTCTCTGCTAGACGCCGAGCTCCTGGAGGGCAATCCTCTGTCGCCTTACACTGAACTGGCAGCCCCGTGCACGTGGTGAAGAGCATGGCCCCTTGGGGACAGGAACTGGCTCAGAACTTTGTCTATGTCCCCAGCCGACAGCACAGAAGCCAGGACTCCTCACAAACCTGGGGACGCTCTGCAGCCTAAATCTAAAGTCCCCCACATGGAAACAGGCCAGAGACACTCAATGCCACGGCCATGGGTGTGGCTTGGATTGACCTCAGGTAACCCCAGTTCTCACTGATGTGATACCTGATTATAATTAGGCTTTTCCAGTGAAGAACAAGCCAGTTCCTCCCTGTCCTGCTAAGGAGGCTGTACTCTGTGGAAAGCTCATTCCCCCACAGGGAGTGGCTGGTGAAAGATAATATTGCCTTTGGTCTTCCTCTTCTCCCCGAAACAATTGGAGGGGCCTTTCCTTTTCCCGTCTGGCTGGTTGGAAGCCCCTGATTCCACTTGTGCGCCTCAGATCTCCCCTCCACGAGGGCTGTGTGGCTCGGCCAGCGGACCGGGGGGCCGTTGTCTCCAGATTTCCGTGCCAATCTGGGGTGAGCAGCTTGGCATCTTGTTGAGTGTCTTGTTCTCCTCGAGCACTTTGTGGACTCGTCTCCACCCCCACCGAACTGGACCCAGTGTAATCACAAGGGCCCTTCAAAGTGGAAAAGACAGGTGAGGAGGTCAGAGTGATGCCACGTGAGAAGGACTCAACCCAACTGCTGACCTGGAAGATGGAAAAGGGGCCACGAGCCAAGGAATGCAGACCAGCCTCTGGAGGGAAACACAGCCCTGCTGGCATCTTGAGTGCAGGCCAACGAGGCCTGCACTGGACTTCTTAGCTGCAGAGCTGTGAGATGATGAATTTGTGTTTAACAAGCCCCTGAGTCTGTGCGCCTATGTTACAGCCGCCGCCATAGGAGACAAACGGGCCGTGCATGTTTGTGGAGGGGTTGGGCTGGAAGTGATTTCAGGGGCTTTTCTACCTTTGAGCCTCTGAGTGGGGGCTCAGCCCTAATAAACAGCTCCTCCTAGAGCTGGGAAGGAGCACAGAAATAAGTGGCAAGAAGTTACTTGTCACTGGAACATAACAAGGGATCGGCCCAGGGCCAGAGTCTCAGCTCACAGCTGTCTACCCACACCCATTGCCCTCCTGGAGCCCCCAATCCAGCCAGCAGAGCCCCTCCAACCCTAGGATCCCCTCCTCAGGCCGGTGGCCTGGAGGCAACAGAGTCATTGAACAGCCAGCCTCGCACCCATCCTCACAGCTCTGGTCCCTGCAAAGCTGCCTTGTTTGTGCTGTTTTATTTTTCATATATTTTTAAATTGATATTTAGAGAGAGAGGGAGAGAAATAGAAATATGTATGAGATAGAAACATAGATTAGCTGCCTCCTGCACGCCCCCTACTGGGGATCCAGCTGTCAACAAGGGCATGTGCCCTGACCGGGAATTGAACCAGTGACCTCTTCCATCATAGGTCGACACTCAACCACTGAGCCACACCAGCCGGGCATGACCATTTATTTTAAAATATGAAAAATGAGAAGAAATATCAAGTATTGAGAGCAAGAGGCAGGAATCTCCACCGCCACCTCCCCCCCTCCCCTCGCTCTCTTCCACTCTCTCCCCTCCCCCCACAGCTGCTCCACACTCTGGCTGCATTCCCAAACTTCTTGCAACAGAACCCTGCCGAACAACACACGAGCCCTTCAGTCCAAAGTGTGGTTTCGTATCATCTCTTCAGGAGCCGTGGGAGACTTGGGGTGGGAAGTAGTCAGCAGGCGTGGAAGCTGCTGGGGACTAGCAAGAGGCCATCACCCGGGGCCAAGGTCTCCCTCTGGGGATGGAGGAGTCTTAATGTGGATGCTTGAGGGAGGGGGTTAGGGTGGGGAAGGGGTAGCTGAGGTTTTTGAGCAGAGAGGGGAGGGGACACGAGGCCAGCCCCCCTCCAGCCTGGGCCTCCTGGAAAACGTGGATGGGGCACCGGGCGGCCGCGGGCTAAATCTCTGCAGGGAGATGCCAGAGCCTTTGCCACCAACACTGACAGCTCCACAGCAGCACAGGTGACAGACCTTTCAGGCTGCAAAGTCCCTTCTCGCGCCACTTTCTCTGTTTTTATCGTAAGCACAGGCCTTCTACACCATTTTTAGCATGAATTTTTTCTTTAGATGACTCCACTATTTCCTTCAAGATATTTATATTTTAAAGGACCTTTTTTTTTTTTTTAATCACTATCTGTGGCAGAAACTTCTAGGGCTCACCCTTTTCAGTCCTTATCTGTTTCTGGGCACATGGAGATGATAATCCCTGCCCCTACCCCGACCCCGCCACCACACTCCCTTGAGTTGGGTGAGCCTCGGGATGTTTCTGGCCAATGGATGGTGGAGGAAGTGATGAGTATTTATTTTTTATTTCTATCTTCTATTTGAAGTTATTTTTATTACATGTCTCAGGTGTAGAGAATTATAATCTGACATCTGTATGCACGACAGAGTGCTCACCACCAAGAATCTAGTTTAAACATCCATCATCGTGTGATTGACTCCTTTCACACATTTGGCTGACTCCCAACCCCCTTCTCCTCTGGGAACCACTAAGATGTGTGCTTACTGAATGATTCCATATATTTCCTATCATTTTATACACCCTTTAGATATATCCATAGATCATAGATTCTAGACATGTGTGAAAGGAAGGATTCATAGCAAACTGACTGTAGTATTACCTCCAGGAAAGCACCAGAGATCAAGATGGGGAAGGGGACAGTGGTAAAAACAAACAAACAAACAAACAAAAACAAACTTTAAATTTACCTCTATTCTATTGTTTTAAGTTCTCACGAGGAAAATATATTCATATATTACTTATATAAGTACAAATTACCTTTAAGATGAACATCAAAATGAAAAAAGGAAATAAAACTGGCAAATTATGTTGTAACTCTATGTGGAAGAATCTGAAATGTCAAGCTAAGAGGTTGTGCTTCGTGCTGTGGCAGCAAGAAGCTAAGGGTGATGTGTGAATGGTCATGGCCAGGCCCATCTGGGTGGGGATAGCGCCTGCTCCGAGGGTGGGTGCAAGGCCTGGATGAATAGACAGCCATGCGATGCCCAGGAGAGACTCTGACATCCTTCCTTCCTTCCTTCTCGTCCTTCAGAAATGAACCTAAATAATAGCAGCTCAGTGACATCTTCCATGGCCTGTCCTTCTAAGCCAGTGATGGCGAACCTTTTGAGCTCGGCGTGTCAGCATTTTGAAAAACCCTAACTTAACTCTGGTGCCGTGTTACATATAGAAATTTTTTGATATTTGCAACCATAGTAAAACAAAGATTTATATTTTTGATATTTATTTTATATATTTAAATGCCATTTAACAAAGAAAAATCAACCAAAAAAAATGAATTCGCGTGTCAGAGGTTCGCCATCACTGTTCTAAGTCCTTCCCCCAGCCCACTGTGCATCTCCATCAAAGTTTCCTGTTGGACTTCTTCAGAACTCTCATCACAATTTATAATCACACCTGTGGGCTGGTTTTTTATTTTTATTTTTACCTGTTACTTATTTTTCCCACCTGGTCACAAGTATATAAACATCACAAAGGCAGAGATGGACCACGTTGTGTCCACTGCTGTTTCCCAATGCCCAGTAGAGTCCCTGGCACAAGGTAGAGGAAGAATAGCAGTAGTAATAGTAATAATAGTAATAGCTACTATTGAGCACTTACTAGGGGTCAGGCATGTTTTTACAGGCTTTACATAGATTAACGCATTCAAATGTCATAATAGGCCTTTTGAGTGGATTTTAATATCATCCCCATTTTACAGATGAAGAGACTGAGGCACATAAGAGAGATTAAAAAACTTGACCAAGGTCACACAGTTTGTGTCAGAGCTGGGATTTCATGACAAAATCTTATTGAATGATGAGTGAATGAATTAACACAATGCTGATTTGTGGTAACCCTGAAGTCCTTATAAATAGTGAAAATTGCTTTAGAACAAATGAGAATGATTAGCCTAATGGGTAGAGTGTTTGTAGGGAGGTCACCTCAGGAGGAGAGGCAGCTATTTTCCATTGAGAGGCAGGCCTGCAAAGAGGAGAAGGGTGCGCTGGCAGAGGGATGGGGCGCTCACCCAGCTCCAGACCCTATTTCCTGGTTCTTTAGAGAACGCTCCCTGCTGCGCCCATGGCCAGAGCTTTGAGAAAAGAGTTCTGGGACCAGCAGAAAACCAGCCGCTCTGAGGAAGGCGTCGAAGTATGAGAAGCCAGCCTCTGAGTCAGGCAACAGATTTCTGTCTTGTCTTGTCCTTTAGCGGCCAGACCTTCCTGGAAGCCACGTCTTACCGAGTCTTATTAGATGGATGCCAGCAGCTGCCAGCCGTGCCTCCGAGTGTGCAGATGTCAAGAGGAAAAATAATCACAGGATGATGCAGCTAAACTCAGCGGGTCCTCACCATGTGCCAGGGACTGTGGAAGGGGCTTCAGGTAAATGATCTCCCTCAATTCTCATAACAACCCTGGAGGTTCCTTCAACACTCATTTTGTCAGTAGATAGTTATCAAGCTCCTGCAACCTTGATGAGGTAAGTACTATTTTTAATTCGGTTTTACAGATGAGGAAAGAGACTTGGAAAGATTAAGTAATTTGCCCAAGTCAGATATTGGCAGCCTTAGAACTTGAACTCAGGTCTGCCCGATGCCAAAACCCTCTTTCATTACCTCTACTCTAAATTGTCTTCTAAATTTGAAACTATCATGTACTTCTATGTGTCAGGTACTGTCCCATAATCAGCATTAGGAATTATTCAATGAGGTTATGTCACCTGGCCCATAATAAATTGTCAATAAATATTAGTTGTGTTATTCTGCACATTATCTATATATATAAAAGGCTAAGTGACTGACTGTCCATCCGTCCAACTGACCGACCGGCTGGTACATATGATGCGCACTGGCACTTTAAAAATAAACGTTGACTTGCCCATGTGTGACCCATCTAAAGCTCCCATTGAATTTCTTAATAGTATTACTCCTTCAGGAATGCCATGTCATAAATTAAAATTGAAAGTAGGTGCCATCATCATGCTACTGAGAAATCTTAATAGTAAATGGGGTCTTTGTAACGGTACTACATTTATTATCAAAAGATTGCGACCTAACATAATCGATGCTGAAGTATTAACAGGATCTGCAGAAGGAGATCGTTCTGATTCTAAGAATTGATTTGTCCCTGTCTGACACTGGCCTCCCATTTAAATTAATTCAAAGACAGTTTCCAGTGATGCCAGCATTTGTGGTGACTATTAATAAACCACAAGGACAAACTCTAGACAGAATAGGAATACTCCTACTTGAACCCATTTTTGGACATGGTCAGTTATATGTTGCTTTCTCCCAAGTTTGAAGAGCATGTGACGTTAAAGTTGTAAATACTTCATCACAAGGGAAATTAGTCAAACACTCTGAAAGTGTTTTTACTCTTAATGTGGTGTACAGGGATATAGTAGAATAAGTTTAATCAATTTATCAGTCCTTGTTTTTATCAATGTTGTTTTTATATGATGTTTTTGTTGTTTTTATATCATGTCTTTGTTGTTATTATATCATGTTGTTATTGATTATTTATTAATCAATTTATATATTACTAAAGGCCTGGTGCACAAAATTTGTGCACTGGCGGGGGGGGGGGGGTTGCCTCTCAGCCAGCCTGCACCCTCTCCAATCTGAGACCTCTTGGGGGATGTCCAATTGCCCACAGGGTTCAGGCCTAGACCGGCAGTTGGACATCCCTCTCACAATCCAGGACTGCTGGCTCGCCTGCCTGCCTGCCTGCCTGATTGCCCCTAACCACTCCCCTGACAGCCTGATCACCCCCTAACCATTCCCCTGCCAGCCGGATCGATGCCTAACTCCTCCCCTGCTGGCCTGATTGCCTCCAACTGCCCTTCTCCGCAGGCCTGGTCACCCCCTATTGCCCTCCCCTGCTGGCCATTTGTGGCAGCCATCTTGTGACCACATGGAGGCGACCATCTTGTGCAAGGGCATGGCGATCAATTTGCATATTACCTCTTTTTATATAGGATTTTCATATACATTTTACTAATTGTCTTTCATCTCTGACACTTCTATTATAGAGAAAGGGCAAATAGTGATATTAAAATATTTCTTCTAATTAATTTCCTTTCAATGTGCACAAATCTGTGCACTGGGCCACTAGTATATTTATATATTGTGATGGTTAATTTTATGTGCCAACTTGGCGAGCCCACAGTACCCGGACATTGGGTTAGACACATCTGGATACTGCCGTGAGGGTTATGTTTTAGATCAGGTTAGCTTTGTTTCAGTAGCCTGAGTAAAGCAGATTACCCCCCTTCCTGGGTGGGCCTCATGCAATCAGTCGAAGGCCTGAATAGAAAAAGACTGACCTCCCCCAAGGGAGTTCTGCTCCAGCTGCAACATCAACTCTGCCCTGGATCTGGATCCTGCTGGCCTGCCCTGCACATTTTGGAATTGGCAACCTCCACAATCACATGGCCAATTTCTTAAAATAAATCTCTCTCTTTCCCTCCCTCTGTTATTCTAGAAATTTAGCTGCTAATGAACATTACAGCCTATAACTGCCACCATCTTCACTTGTATGGAGAGAGCTGATTTTCCTAATTTGGCTAGAAATTAATTAGAGATTAATCCTAGTTCTGCCCATTCCCTTCTCTCTCTGGGCCTCTTTCTCACCTACTGACGGAGGTACTCAGGACCCTTTCATGACAAAGACAGGAATGAATGGACAAAACCCCTGGCGGTCGGGTCCTCCCTTTGCACTTCGTAGCTCAGTGCAGGCAGTGACAGTGGAGGGGCCCCAGGCCAGGAGCCAGAGATCCTGTGGGCTGGTTGCAGGTCACCACTCACCCACCAGCCAGGTGACCAGGGCCAGATCCCTTCCCCAGGTCCCAGCTATAGTTCCCTCCTTACCAGGACAGTAATGAAAATAATTACTGAGAATTATTGCAAAAATCAACATAAAATCCTGTATGTGATGTTAGTTTATGAATGGCAGGTATTATTTTTTTTTGTTAATCCTCACCCAAGGATATTTTTTCTATGAATTTTTTGAGAGAGAGTGGAAGGGAGGGAGGAAGTGAAGGGAGGGAGGGAAGGAGAGAGAGAGAGAGAGAGAGAGAGAGAGAGATGTGAAAGAGACATTGACTGGTTGCCTCCCGCACACATCCCGACTGGGGCCGGGGATGGAACCTGCCACTGAGGTACATGCACCAGGCCACTCGTATATTTATATACCGTGATGGTTAACCTTATGTGCCAACTTGGCTAGGCCACAGTACCTGGACATTTGGTTAGACACATCTGGGAATCAAACTCTCTCTAACCACGGAGCCCACAGGCCAGGGCATGACTGGCAGTTTTTCACTCTCAGATTCACTCTCAGAAAGAGATAAATAAGCACAAGCAGTGTCCGGGCTCTGCATCAGGGCAGGGTCGGCCCTGGGTGCCCCCTGGAGTCGGCCAGGATGGTTTAGTCGCTGTGCATGTGCCTGGGAGCTTCTGACAAGGTCACAGGAGCCCCGTCGATGGCAGAGTCATCTCAGCTCCAAAAGCTTGGTCTCCTTTTCTCTTCCTAACAACCCCATGAGGTAGGCAGCTGAGGAGGAAGGGGTTAAACTCGTGGCCTCACACCACAGTAGAGGCCAAGCTGAGCTCCAACCCATCTGAACCCGAAGTCCAGGGTCTGTCCCGCCCCATCACCAGCGAAGCCCAGCGCACAGTCAGATGTAACCTAATGATTCAGGAGCCAGGCGAGCCCAGTGACTCAGCCCCAAATCCTCATTCTAAAGCCAAGGCCTCTCACCACAGCGGAGGGCCTGGGAGACAGAGGAAGACCAGACAGAGAAATCAATTTGAGAAAAAACAGGGAAAGCCTCAGAAAGATTCTAATCAGAGAATCTGGCCGCCAGCAGAGCAGAGAATCATTTATCAAATGACGCCCGGAATGCAAACTTGATGTATCTATCGCTTTTCCTGTTATCTTGGGATTTGGGGGAAATGAAATACATTTTCATATGACTAAACTTGGGCACCAACTCGTTCTGTGACATTGAGCAAGCCTTTCCGTATTTCTGGCCTCAGTTTTCTCTACCATAAAAAAGAAAAAGAAAAGATGGTACCAAATCAGGTTCCCAGGCTGCAGGCATTAGACTTCTGGGGCCCTGATTTTCTCCATGTGTGGTAACCACAGTTATTCTCGTTTACCTAATATTGTTTTTATGTGTGTTTGTATATTTAAAAAGGAAATCCCCGCCTGGTTGGCGTGGCTCAGTGGTTGAGCCAGGAGGTCATGGTTCATTACCGGTCAGGGCAGATGCCTGGGTTGCGGGCTCAATCCCCACTGTGGGGGGGGGGGGGGTGCAGGAGGCAGCCGATCAATGATTCTCTCTCATCATTGATGTTTCTCTCTCTTTCCCTCTCCCTTCCTCTCTGAAATCAATACAAAATTTTTTTTTTTTTTTTAAAGGAGATCCCCTATCATCTCCTAAATCAGCGGCTCTCAACCTTCTGGCCCTTTAAATACAGTTCCTCATGTTGTGACCCAACCATAAAATTATTTTCATTGCTACTTCATAACTGTAATGTTGCTACTATTATGAATCGTAATGTAAATATCTGATATGCAGGATGGTCTTAGGCGACCCCTATGAAAGGGTCGTTCGACTGCCAAAGGGGTTGCGACGCACAGGTTGAAAACCGCTGTCCTAAATGTAAAAACAGAGCCTCTTGCGTTAATGATTCATAATGAATACATAATTGCTAGGATTTTAAATTCTCACATGGAAGATCCGAAGAGAATTCCTCAGACTGTCGGTGGGAGTCATGGCCTCCAGCTCTGTATCCCCCCAGTGAGACCCCTGCATCCCTGCAGCACTGCTGAGTCTCAGGGTGCCTCCTGGCCCCCCAGCCAGGCGGGGTCCCTCAGCTCATCCCTATGGAGGTGATGGCTGTGCTTTCCTGTCATCATCAGACAGCCCGTCCGTCACTCTCTGCTCAAAGGCAGTGGCTGAGCCCACAGGCTGCGGGACCGGGTTTGAGCAATGGTACCAGAGCCACTCCCTGTGTCAGCATTGTCACCTCAGTCACACTGTCACTTCACTTTACCCTTAGAAGGAGGCTAATTTTTTTTCATTGGATAGAATCTTGAAAAATTATCAGTAATTTGGGTGAGAAAGGTAACATGGCAGCCCAGAAAGTTGAAATCAAGGGAAGAATTTGTCAAGGGCAGAGACAGGGGAATGGTCACTTCATTCAATAGAATTTCCTTCCTTTATGCTATTCAGTATAATCATGACGGCCACAACTGGTATTTATTTAGTGGTTACTATTGTGTTAAGTGCTTTTTCAGCGTGATTTCATTTCATTTTCACAATCATTATTATTATGTGAAGAATTTACAGATGAAGAATTAAGGTTCAGTGAGAT